CCTGATGGAAAATTATCACATCAAGAACACCCTGAGAATGGGAAAATCCAGACAGATCTCACCCCTGCTTTGAGAAACAACATTTAAATGGTACTGTACAAGGCACTTAGATACTCAACTGAAGTCCCGAAACATGAAATAATCTCTCAGTAAACAACATTACTGTAGTTTATACTCTTTCCAGGGTATCACAAGAGAGTCAGCCACAAAGTTTAACTGTTTATTCATTAATAATCAGCTTGCCGGTCTGTTTACTACAACAGAAAGAGCATTTATTCCTCTTGAATTTACACCCTAACCATCAGTTTAACTTCCACAAATGTGAATGGTCAGACAACCTTAAATGCTTCCATTGGAGGTGATTAGTCTATCAACATGAAACGTCCAATCAGGTGTAAGAGTGTGTGCGATCCATCAGTCCTTTAAACCATCTGTCTTCATTTATTTCCCATCACTGGCCGATCACAGTTTTTTCTGAACTCAAGGTTGTGGCAGAGTTTTGTGAAAAGGAGAAGTAAAATACAAGATTTCCAACTGGATAGCACTATCAACCAATCATGATATTGTGGACCAATCACAACAATGGTGACACCAGCTCTATGGTGACACTTGAACAAAATACTGAGCTCTTCCAAAACTTGTGTATAAGGAGCTGATTGTCATGTTTGCTCCTAGCAAAAACCGCATGCACTGGTACCAGTCAAATGTCTACGCATTTAGTTTTGCACATACATGTACATGTACATGTAAGATGTCACACGGTATGCTGTACGAGTATATCAAATTTAAGAAGTCACATAATAAGTGTACATTTTATGTTTTTTTTTAAATGCTGGCATTGAACAAATGCAATATAATTAATAACTTCACCCTTTGTGACCTAGTAATTGCATGGAATGTTGGTCATTTCGGCACCTTGCCAATTCGGCACCTACCAACTCCGCACCTCGTCAACTTGGCACCCAGTCGGCAACTCGGCACTTCAAATTTTGCCTCTGCTCTGCGTCATCCAACTCAGCACCTCACTGACTTGGTGCTCGAACCGAAGCGCTTGGTTCTAATTCCATACATGTGCTTAGTTAATTTCGGTTGATTTGGAGATTGGGTAATCCGCATGGATTATGGTAACCCAATTAGTTGGTAACCCAAAGAAGTTCATAAAAGAAACGAGTTTCTTATGTAAAAGGGAAGATTGAAGGAAACCCATTTTTGAAATTAAAGTCCGATTTTACCAGTAATTTTAAAAAGAGAAAAACAACCCTTGATTTATCTTGGTAATTCTGTGAAAGCTCGTTATTGAAGTTGCCCCTGTGACCCTGGCCCCCCCTAGCAGACCCGAACTAACCCACAAGGCGAGCGGCTTCCAGGCCCGACTCAATACTCCTATTACTCTACGAATACACGGCCCAGCCTGCTGTGCATGCAACTCTAGCGACTGGTCACAGCTTATGGGCAGGTGGGGTGATCGGGGCCATGCCGACTGGGCCCAGCTGGTTATACTAACCGGGAGAGCTAAGACAGTGGTGGACTAAGCACCCACTCAATTAAAAAAAGACTTATTTGAGAAAATAGCTATTTAAGAAACTTTCCTTGAACTTTTCTCATCAAAAGACTTGGAGGTGTAGATTCCAAACCAGTAATACATGTACATGTACTTCCAAAACCCTTGCATACACTGTACTTAAAAAAAATTTAAGTGCATTTCTTCAAGGTCTTTGAGATACGCATCAAATTATAGCATATTCCATGACCATTATTTTCTAATCCATTTGGGGTGTTAATTATCAGTGACTTTTGGGATAAAATTCCATCCTAACAGTATCACTATCTACTGTGTACAGCGCCCGTGTGTAGGTGCCAAGTTTGAGAGGTGCCGTGTTGGCAAGGTACCGAGTTGGTTTTTGCACAGGTGCCGAGTTGGTGGGTGCCAAGCTTGCAAGGTGCCGAGTCGGTGGGTGCCGTGTTGACGAGTTCGCAGGTGCCGAGTTGGCAAGGTGCCGAAGAGACCGGTTACCATTGCATGGACCCTATTACATGCATTAGGACATGAAGGCCCAGGGCTCATGGCCCACCATGAGAATTTTTGTTGTTCCCATTAAAAGTTGCAACATCCCCCCCTACTTCCACCACCAGTGGTTAGAATACCAAATTCTGAAATCAACAAGGTGCAAACAATTCAGACTAAGTTGTGTAATTGTTGGCCGTGATTGGTCAATCAGCACACACACACCTTATCGCATTGCGCTATCAATTGATCCAGTTTGGAATCTCTGACTTTATTTCCCTTTTTTGAAACAATCTTCCACAATTTAGAAACAAAAGGTTATTGGCTGATTGCAGAAATATCAGCAAATCATACCAAAAGATTGACAGATCACATAAAGATCGAGACCGACCAATCGCACCAAACATAATCATCCTGATATATAAAAATCTGAAAATGACAATCTGAAAAAAATTGTCCTCATGTTCAAATATGTCAAAAGATCAACTTACTTGCAGAACACCATGTACTCCACTGAGTTTAGGGTTGACATCTCTGCTTCCAGCCCCTTTCGTCTCTCCACCTACGCGCCCCAGCTCCCGATCCGCCGACCAAACCATCTCTTCTCGTCTCCTCCGACCCTCCTCGTCCTTCTCCAAGACGAAGAAGAAAGTCCACGCCGCCACCAGCTGCACCACGATGATGAACGTGGCCACGTAGACGGCGCGCCGGTACCGGTAACAGAGCCGTGAAGACCGTTTCATTTGCCCGCTGCTTGCCGTCGCCAAGGCCATGGCAGTCCGTGTTTCTTGTGGTTGTCCCCTCCGAGCTAGCGAACCGTGGTCGAGCATCACAGACCACTATGTGAAGTACTTGTACTAACGGACCAAATGCCGACATCCATGGCTTTTATAGCCGTGTTGCCGCCGACAAATCACAGCCATATTGCCAATGAAGAGTATGATTAACTTTTTAAGTCATGAGATCGAACCGATCGCGGACTTTGTGGACACAGTGTCAGCACGTTCCCACCACGAATCACTTCCGGGGTCATTACTCAACAACTTTTTCAGCCTCAACGAATGAGGGCGCTTTAAACTTTTTACAACTCCCACCGTCGTGTGACGTACATAAACCGACCGAATATTTACCCTACGTAGATGCCGATCGATACCATCCCAGGTACAAAAACAATTGTCAGATCCAAGAAATACAGGGAAAGTGCCAGGGGTGGACCCTCCCCCCCTTTTTGATAAAAAAAATAAATGAATAAACAAAAAAGAAGAAAAGGCGGGAGAGGGAAGAAAAGAGAGGGGCCATACTGGCTGAAATTGCACCACAGAACACCTAGAATCAAACCCATTCCTAGAATCCCTTTAAGACTTAGCCTGCTTGGGACCCCACGCCTTGAAGGCTTCGTGCTACGCACTCGCGGGCATTTTAAAATTGCTGCTTTAGTTCCACTCCCCCCCCCCCTTAGAAAATCCGGGATTACGCCCCCCGGAAAATCGTGTATCTGTCCCTGAATGCATCAAGCTATAGATTTGCCAACAGTGACGTAACACAAAAGAAATGATTTCCTCAAAATTGAAAATGAAAAAGTATCCCTTTTGTTTAGCTTTCAAAATTCCAATGTCCAGTCCTAGATGGTTTCCTAGTTGACTAACGATAGAAGAAAAACAAGTTATGCGATGACAATGGGATATCAGCTTGACATGAACGAAAAAAAAGGGTTTTAGTGTGATCTATACTCAAGCGAAAAAGTGAAGTGACTTCGTCAACGTTATAATTTCCATTCAATATCCTGTAGAAAAACTCTATTGCGCTGTTATTCCAAGCAAAAACCGCTAGTCTTGCCAGCAAACAGCAAAATTGAGAATGATGTCAAAAGCATGTTTAGTTGTTTTATTGTAGTGTCTACAGGAGCTAGGCTGGGATACATCTAAGGTCAAAAGACAGCGACTGAACATACGTTACGTCTACTTCATAAAAATGAGATTGAATTTATGTGAACGGAGAGCTACCAGAACGGTAGTCTTGATTTAAAGACGTTAGTGCTTGATAGCGGACACCGTGCACAGTGCGCCCCCCTAACGACTCACAATTAGACTGTGCGCCAGCTCGCACTAGTGAGAGTAAGTAAAATCTTGGGTCGAGTTCGGGCGCCGTGTTCTTGACACGGGTTTCTTGTTCTCGCGCTCGAACGGCGGGAACACGACTCAAGAACACTGTTCTCGGAACAGGATCACACACCACCCCCTCGTCAGGGTTTTTCCGGAACACACGGAAAAACTCGTGAGATTTTTATTTGCAGCTGCAAAAAATAGAGAGGATGGTTTACAAAGTTGGAGATGATAGGAAGTTTTGCAAAATTAACATTAATTATTTTTCACAATACAGAAGTGATTGCTCCTGTTTGAATAGAAAAAAATTTAGCCCAGTTGTCCAAGCATCAACTCTCGAATAGTTTACTACGATATGGACGCCGCCATGTTGCTTGTCACTCACACCAGCGATGACCAATTGTACGTTCCCGGCGTTCGAGCGGCCGACCCAAGAACGACAAATCAAGCTGTTCGTAAACATACGAGAACTGACGCCCGAACTCGGCCTAGGTGTGCGAGGGCGCTCTTCAACAGAAATAAAACAACTATCGATCACTGACGTCTTGGGCCAAGACTACCAAAACGGCAGAAATTGAACGCGAAAATTGGTACCGGTGAGAGGCCGGTTCGCTTTTTGGCGCGAAAGCGAACACGTTAAAGGGCGGTGTGTATCAGTTTTTTTGTGACGTCAAATCAAATATTCCCGTCGCAAATATGTAAAAGTTTAAACACCCACCAACTCGAGTAAAAGTTCGCTTCGTATTCGTCTGAAGTATGAACCGGCCTAATCACGACATGGAAAAAATACTTGAACAAAAAATACTTGCTGTAATTGTGTATATATTACAAAAAAATTTAAAAAAACTAGAATTTAAAAGGCAGCAACTAAACTTATCTTACTTCCACATCACAATAATGAAGGAAATTGATTCCGGATGAATGAAAATACACCTCAAGGGGAGACCAAAAAAATGACGGCGCGATGGAAAACAAACGTACGATATAAAAAGAAGTTTACTGCGCAACGTAAACAAATCGAGTGCATGCACGAACACTTACGGGAGAGAACAGGGGGCGGATGCCTACAGAGAATTTTATTTTGAATGAAAAGGAACCAAACTACTTATTTTGTGAGATTGAGACCTCAGAGAATTACTAGTGCAGTAATCTATAGTATACCTTTGTCAACGTCATGACTAAATATCCTAGTATTCCAACAAACCTCGGAAGAGGGAAAAAAGAGGAAATGTGCCTTGTGAAAATGTGAATGAGAACACACCCATCTGCAAAGCTACTCGAGAAAAGGAAATCAGGGGCAAGAAAACCACTTCCGACGACTGCGAAGTGGAATAATTACAAGGGAAAGCCAAGAAACAGGAGGCGTCGAGAAAACTGACAAAAAATGTTAAAATACTTTGATTAAAGCCCTGGCACCAGCTGTATAAATAATATCATGGGGTACCTTGGTAGAGTTGTTTGTGCGTGGTTGAATGGCACTTTGCCAGACCCGGCTAGAGTTTTATCTTTTCCCTGCTGAAAGGAATCCCGGACGTTTACGGCGACTAAACAAGGGTGTTCAGCATGAACAGAGGTAGGATAAAATGGAAGGTGATTGCATTTGGCTGTAAACTTTTTTAATTAAGAAAATTAACAAAAACTACAGGGCTTGGAGACCATTCGCTGGGCCCAAGTTGTAAAATTACGTTAATGTTTTATTTTGATACTTGACGAAGCCAACTGACCAGCCATCTTCGGCTTGCTTAGGTCATCGCACAAAAAGTTTTAACTTCCATTCTTTAAACATTAAATTACAGAAACTAAAGCAGAGTGGAAAAAGTCCTTACACCCATTTTCTGGACACTGAAATATAGGAAATCAAGTTAATTGGAAACAAGTACGTTGGTTTCTCATAGAAAGAATGAACTTTAACCCGAAATTGAATAAGAGCTCGAAAACTACCAGAATGGCGGTAACTGAGCGAGAAAAACGACTGCAAAAACGACAATAAAACGGTAGAAAAGAGTCGATTACTGGAGCGGTTATCAAAGGAAAAAGAATTAACCAAGAAGGGATAAGAAATACATTCCTAGGAAAAAAACAATCACCGAAAAACACGAAAAAAAAACACAAAACCCACAACCCAAAACAGCAGACACCACGCCACAGCGAAAGAAAACGACAACAAAGACAAAACCTGGCGTTGTCAGTTATTGTGCTGACTTTTTGGATATGGGATTTTCGAAAACATCTCATAACGGGAGAACATAGAAAGGAAATGTTCACTTATTGATTTTTATTTTATGTAATAATGCAACAAACGCAAACTCGCACGTGAAGAAGATGCGCCCCGCTAAGCTGCTTCATAAGTTACAGACGATTGAGGTCGCCCTGCTCTTTGACCGGCTGAGTCTTTTTACTCTTGCATGTGACGTACGTATACGTACGTAGTTCTTCCCGGATCCGTGGACCAAACGTTTTTGTGAGTGCCTAGCAATCGCTGGGCTGGATGAGTCATCGTGGACGATACTGACTAAGATTGCTTATTCTTCACATGTTGCAAGCACATCTGCGAAGATCATCGGTCCTTTGAAAATTGACAACCCCTGTGCCGTTCTGGTGCTGTAGGTAAGTAAGGATTTGAGACTTTTGAGTGTTTTTTTTCTGGCGACAATCCTCGGTCTTCCTTTTTCTAGCCACCGCCCTGTTCTGTATGTTGTCTCTGCACGGACGGGGACTCCCGGTGTAGCAACACAGCATTTCCTTATCAAAAGATACATGTACATGGAGCGCATTTTCTAGGCATTTTTGTGTGTTTGTTAGGATTGTTCTGTTTTCTATCTGTTTTATCACTCCATGTTTGTACAGTCATGACTGGTAGTGTGTGAGAAAGAAATAACTGGGGAAGAGTTCTACACATATGGACGCCTGTATAGTAATTATTCCCTACATTAGCCACCAGAAAGCAAAAACACGTCCAGAAAAGTTCAATTTAGAAAGGAAAAAACCAAGTCGTTTACTTTGAAAATACTTTTTCAGACTAGTCTCGTAGGATTTGTGCACGGGGTGTCGAGTGGCACCCGTATAGGCCACAAGACATAAAAGACTTAATGGTCAGTGTGGTTTGTATCTCAGTTCTCTCATTTAGGCCTAGGCCTACAAGGCTTTACTGTCACTTAGCCCCATTTCCATGTCACCCTAACCACTTTGCCCCTAACCACTTTGCCCCTAACCACTTCGTCCCATCTCCACTTGGCCTCATCCCCACTTTGCCCCATCCCCACTTTGCCTCATCCCCACTTCCTCCCATCCCCACTTCGCCCCATCCCCACTTCGCCCCATCCCCACTTTGTCC